CTCACTTGGTAGCCCAGGCTGGCCTCGAACTCACAGAGATCCACCTGCCTCTGCCTCCCAAGTGCTGGGATTAAAGGCGTGCGCCACCACCGCCCAGCCGACCACAGCAACTCTTACAAAGGAAAACATTTAATTGGAGTAGCTTGCTTACAGTTCAGAGGTTCAACCCATTATCATCATGGTGGGGCATGGTGGCATGCAGGCAGACATAGTGCTGGAGCTGAGAGTTCTCATCTTGATCCACAGGTACCAGGAAGTGAACTGAGACAATGGGCATGGCTTGAGCATATATGAGTCCCTTAAGCCCACGCCCATAGTGACACACTTCTTCCAACAAGGCCTCACCTACTCCAGCAAAGTCATACCTCCTAATAATGTCACTTCCTATGAGCTTATGGGAGCCAATTACATTCAAACCACCACACAAAGCATAAGTAATTTAGAAATGAATTGTTCAGTGCAGGGACAAAAAAAGAAATATTGAAAAGAATTGATATGCCACCTCAATGATGCATAGTACTTGTTATTCACAATCTGGTCTTATGTTACATGAGGCTAAAGGATTCCACATTAGTTTTACTGATTTTGTGAAATAGACTTGTGCATATTTCATTCAACATTGAGCACAAATATCTTGTTTTCTTTTTCATCGCTGCTTCTAATGCACATGTCTTATGAAAGTACATTGCTAAACACAATAGGAATTGAAAATCACTTTCTTGTTTGGATGACCATGCTTCAGATTGCTATCTCTGAGGAATGTTCACCTGATGGCATTTATGAGGGACTGTTGACTGTGACTACCAGAATCCACTTAGGTCTTTTTATGTTTGTTTGTTTGTTTTTTATAGGATCTTAGACTTTACATGTAGTGAGCACAGGAAGTTGGGGCAAATGGTTTATTTACATTAACCATTCTTTAATAAACATAGGTAATAGGTGGATGATAACAAGAACACAAGTAGGTATTGTTATCTGTTTTTTATTAGCAGCAGTGGCTGCCCCTTAAGCAATGGCTATTCTAGTCAGAGATTGCAACTTGGGCTGCAAGGGCCGCAGCCTGAGGGGATTCTGTTCCCTCAGGCACCGACTCCTTCAAAGCTACTAAGGGAGAATTTATCTAAATCTAAAGAACTTATGATTCAATGGTTTAGGTGGAATTCTGCTTACTCAGGAGGCTGAATAGCAAGTAGCTAACCTTCTCCCTTTGCTGGTGTCTTCCAAAAAACCCAGCATCCTTCTCTCAACCCTCACTTAAAAAACGTTGCTGACTCAGCCTCCTACTCACAGGTTAATTTTATTTAATCAAACATATTTTTGAATTGTTAACAAAAACAATAGGAAAAAAGCACCACACTTTAAACTAATATTTCCTGATAAATAGGTTTTAGTTTCACACAAGAGTGCATTTAATTCCTAAATTTCATACTTGCTAGATATGTGACCTTGAGACATTGGTTAATGGTTGTATCACTTAGTTTTATTCTTGTCTTTATGTGTTTATTTGCTTGTTTAATTGCAAATGCCATAAAACTTTAAAAGTTTGTACATTTGAAGTATATGTGACAACTTCTCTTGTATTTAATAAAACATTCTTTAAAGAATTTAAATCTTTGTTGAATGTTTTCACAGTTCTACTAAAATAGTAATTAATGTTTATCATTTTTCTTATTTATGGAAAAAGACAAGGTGTTTTAGGATATGAAGAAATGGGACTGGAAACTTGTCAAGAAAGCAATCTAGGTAAGACCTGGACTAGGAGTTATTCTAGATAATCCTTTCTTTGTTTAAAAAAAAGTAATAATTAAGTAAGTCAAATCATGAAAGTGGTGTTTACAAAGTGAACTTGTAAAATGATTTTGCAGTTTTAAATTGCTTATTTGTCTAGAACTGTTTAATGAGTTAATCATTAAATATATTTTGCTTTCCAAAATAGTGTAACCTAAAAAAAATTATTTTCCTTTTGTGGAAAGTTTTTTTTAAAGTTGAACCTAGGGCTTCCCCAATTCTGGATAAATTCTCTCCCACTGAAATACACCTGTCTTCTAGAGTTTCTTTTCTTATTATGGGTGTAAGCTCTGATGGAATGCTTTTCATATGTAGAAGTTCATATAAAGAACTAAATTTATTTGGAGATATGCAATAGAATGAGAATGGCTGAGCGGAATGTCATTATGCTGTAATACCCAGGAGAAACATGGCCATCCTGCTCAGTTACATCCAGACAGACATTTGCAAAATGGGAGGATACATTCTCAAGAATTCATACTTTATAAAATGACCATCACAATGGCTTTCATACCTACCTCGCCATTGGGAATAAGACTAGAGTCCTGTTCTAGTTTGCTTTTCTGGAACTCAAGCAGAAACTATGGAGGAACACTGTTTACTGGCTCATGCTCAGCTAGCTTTCTTAAATAGCCCAGGCCCACCTGCCTAGGTAAGGTGCCACCCACAGTGAGCTGGGCCCTCCAACATCAATCATCAGTCAAGACATTCTCTCACAGACATGGCCACAGGCCAATCTGATGTAGGCAATTCCTCAACTGAGACTCCTTTAGAGGACTCTAGGTTGTGTCTTCTAGCTGATACTCACTAGTACAAATCTGAATAAGAGACACTCTGTCACACATGAAAGAACAGGAGGGATGGCCATGAGCACAGTCTGTAAGTTTATAACCTAATGAAGTTCCTTTTGGAAATCATTGCATTTTAACATCTTTGTTTTATTTCTTAGTGATGGGCCTTGGACCTAACACCTCTGTCTCAGTCATTTTTTTATTGATGTGAAGAGACACCATGACCAAGGCAATTTATAGAAGAAAAAGTTTATTTGGGGCTTACAGTTTCAGAGGGTTAGAGTCCATGACCATCACAACAGGGGACATGGGGGCAGGCAGGGGTGCTGGAGCGTAGCTGAGAGTTTACATCTTGATTCACAAGCATGAGGCAGAGAGAACTAGGTAGGAATGCCATGGGCTTTTGAAACCTCAAAGCCAGCCCCCAGTGACACACCTCCTCCAACAAAGACACACTTCTTCATCCTTCCCAAACAGTTCCACCAACTGGACACCAAGTGTTTAACATATGAACTGATGGGGGCCATTCTCATTCAAACCACCACAGTCGCCAACACTCTAAGGAAGCCATACTTCACACACACACACACACACACACACACACACACACACACACACGCACACGCACACGCACACACACAATGCATATTACCTTACTTTTCTATGAGTATTGTAGATTGTCTGTCCTGGGAAATACCTAATAGAGTTCCACTATTTGTTTTCATGTTTTAGATGAGATAAAGAAAGTTTTCTTTATATACAGAGAGCCCTGTGTTGACCCATTCTGAAGCTCGGGTGAAATGATGACTTCATTTCTACATTTTTCATATCAGATAGCAACTTTCTTTTCCTCAGTGGTTCATTTCAAGCCTATTTCTGCCTATAAGTATGGCAAAGCATAGATAAATCATCCAGGAATGTTCTTCCCATGAAATAGTTCTGTGGGAGACAAAGTGAGCCATTTGAATCACACATGAGGTAGAGAACAGAGCCATAACTGAGAGAGATTATTAGCGTTTCATAGCAAGAGCAAGCATCTTGATGCCTCTCCATCTTTTTTTCTGCTGGAGTCTGGAGACTGAAAAAGATCTTGCTCCCCCATTGCTCTATTCATTGTTTTGCAAAGCTGCACAGGACCACGGCCATTCACTGATGTTGCTTATGGCAGGTTTTTATCTGAAGTGGGGAAGTTTCCTCTGAAACCCTGCAGGGTTCGTGTTGTGCCTTAACAAAGTAAGTTCACAGAAAGGAGAAGTGACTCGGTCATGACTCTGGCTGCTCTCGCAGGGGACCCAGGTTCAGTCCCATCACCCACATGATGGTTCAAAACCATCTGTAATTCAAGTTCCAGGAGATCCAGTGCCCTCTTCTGGCCTCTGCAAGCACCAGACATACAGGCGGTGCACAGACTTGCATGCGGGCAAAACATCCACACAGGTCAAATAAAAATGAAAAAATATCTAAGAATAAAAGTGAGCACACGCCTTAGTGCTGCTCACCTGAGAGTCACTACGCGTTGGACACTGTCAGCCTCTCGCACGGATTCTTCTAATAACGTCATTTCCCGTCAGTCTGACGGTGTGCAGCGACAGTCACGGTCATTGTGCATGGCAGTTTACGTTTACGTAATAAATTTTGACAGGTTTCTTCTTTGATTTGAAAGACACAAACTAGTGGAAGTATGAGCTTTTGAAGAGTGGATTACCTACCACTAGAACTCTCTTGATGCACGGCTCCAAATTTATTCATACTACCAATCAATCGTCAGTTATACAGTTTTGATACATCGTACTTACCTCTTTTCTAGTATTTGATACTGCTGATTAACAACATATTTTTCCTCTCTGTTTAGAAGCAGCTGAAAGTACTGAATCCTGCTCTGTACTAAGGTAGGGTTTTAGAGATTAAGTACAGAAGAAATGAACTGGTGTTTGTTAGTGGTCTCTGGCTCACGGCCACATGGTGTGCCGGGCACTTGCTACCTCACAGTCTTCATGGCTTGTTTGCAAAGTATGCACGATGTCCGTCATCGCCCATTTTCCCCAGTAGGTGGCTCTCCCTGAGGGGCCCCCAATCCTGTAACTGCCAGGAAGCTGACCCCAGGCCTGTGCATTACAGTGTGTTTTCCTGCTCTTCTGCATAATTAATTGATAGACTCAAGAAACTGCTTCATAACGTAATTCACAAAGTCCAGACATGTGTGAGCTCACGTGCAGAGTGCTCCCCGCAAGCCTGGTGGTTCTCTAATCATGGTCTTAATAACTTTCCAGCCGCAGTCAGGACCAACGCCTGTTTTCACCAGAGAAGGATTTAGGGCAGATCTCAACCTGTGGCCATGGTGCCATCAATATCATACATAACAAAATCATGCAACTGCTGGAGAGAGATTATTTTTCTGGAAGCAAACCATTTCTACATGTGGAGAATGTTCAGCTAACAGTGTTTAAGCCTGTCCAGAAGCTATTTGAATTGCTTTTTTTTTTTTTTTTCAAGACAGGGTAGCTCTGGGCATCCTGGAACTCACTCTGTAGACCAGGTTAGACTCGAACTCAGAAATCCACCTGCCTCTTGTCTCCCAAGTTCTGGATTAAAGGCGTGTGCCATCACCACCCTTGCTTTTTTTTTTTTTTCTGACTCCCTATTTGTATCTCCCTTGAACTGCTACTGCAGTCCACTTCCTGAAATTCCGTCTAGTCTGTTCTCATCAACATGGAACACACTTGCTGCTGTTATTTTCCTGCATCCCTTTATCCTCACTTCCCACGGCTACGGATCCCTTTGCTTGTGCAGACCCTGATGAAAGTCCACACAGTGTCAGGGTTTTAGGGACTTACCTCAACACACGAAGTGGCAGCAATGTAATTTGACCTCATGTTCCTTAGGACAGTAGCCTTTATTTGTCATTCTGGAGGTCAGTGTTTTAAAGATGAAGTGTGTAAGACTATGAAAGTCCATTGAAGATGAGAGTGGAATTAAAAGGTGGATTCATGGTAGTTTTTAAGGATGGAGTTGCCACAAAGTGAGGCGATTTTAGAAGATCAGATTGCTTTTGGTAATGCTGATGAGTTTAGAATATCTGGGGTATATAGCATCGTAGTCATGATGATACAGGAATTTGGGGCATGTTTACTAAATTTGATATAGTCTCCTGCACTTGGTAAACTTCCCAAACTCCTAAATATTGCACTTCTATCTCTTACATTTCATAACCAAACCCATTTGACTTCAATCAAATAATATACTCATAATGATTTGATAATAATATTAGTAGTATAGCATTCTCTGGTTCCTATGAGAAATTACAAAATTGATTGTTTTTAACCTGTACATTTATTAAAGAGAATTGTTTTTTGTATGTGTTTAGCTTAAAATGGATTAAGACTGTCATTGATAAACATCCAAATCACATATGTTCTTCGTAAGACCAGTACAAAAACATCGCAAACTTCTCTCTGAGAAAAGTAGACAGAATAGTTACAGTTTAAATGAGTTGTTGAACATCAATATAGAGAAGTAGGTTTTCTACCTAACACAGTTTCAGGGTGCCTGACACAATCACAGATGAGGCAAGGCAGTTTTTAAAACACCAGAACTCATTTGTTATTATATATTTTCATTCTGAAGGTTCTCCACCAAACCTGATCGTAGTGACCCTGAGACCACAGCAAGGAAGGACGAATGTAATTTTGATACAAAGGTAAAATCCTTTGAGGTTAATCTTCTTCTGGGTGTGGATTGTTTTAGCATTTATTCTTAAATTCAATAATAATCTACTTATTATCCTTTTATACTAAAAGTTGGTCAGAGAAAACGTCCTACACAATTAGAACTAGTCAATGGTTTGTCCTTTGACCCCTCCCAAAGGGATAGGAAGTACTCTGAGACAGCAGGGGCTGAATGAAGAAACGGGAAGAAAAACACAGTGATGTGAATCTTAAACTAGGTAAACTTGCCCCACAATAAAGTTAAATTTGGGGGGATTTGTGGGACAAATATACCTTTGAGTCATTTTTTAAATGACACCAATACAACTTTTATTATACTCATACTTACAAAATATCCAGTCACAGAGCTGGAGAGTTGTTCAGTGGTTAGGAACACTTTCTGCTTTTGTAGAACTGGATTTGGTTCCCAGTACCACTCGGTGGCTCGCAACCATCTGTAAGTCCAGTTCCAGGGGTTCAGATGCACGCCCCTACGCCCCTTCCTTCCTTCCTTCCTTCCTTCCTTCCTTCCTTCCTTCCTTCCTTCCTTCCTTCCTTCCTTCCCTTCTTCCTTCCTTTTTTCCTTTGGTTTTTTTGAGGCAGGGTTCTCTGTGTAGCCCTGGCTGTTCTGGAACTCACTCTGTAGACCAGGCTGGCCTTGACCTCAGAAATCCACCTGTCTCTGCCTCCTATGTGCTTGGATTAAAAGCATGCATTGCCACCACCCAGCAACCTTTTTCTGACTTCTATAAGAATCAGGCACACATGTAGTGCACAGGCATGCATGCAGGCAAAACACTTATACACATAAAATAAATTTAAAAATTTTAATATAGTCACAACATAGTGATCAAGGAATTTTCTGGTGTCCCATGGTTCTAACTACCTAATGAGACATGTAGATTTTTATTCCTTCAGTGATTTTTTTGTTTTATTATCATATAGCGTTTTTAAAAGATTTATGCTATCATTGTGTGTGTGTGTGTGTGTGTGTGTGTGTGTGTGTGTGTGTGTGTGTGCAAGTGCGCATATGTGCACCAGTGTGCTCTTGCCCATGGAGGTGAGAGGGTGTTGGGTCCTCTGGAGCTGGAGTTAGGCAGTTGAGGAAGCTGCCTGGTGTGGGTGCTAGGAAACCAACCTCTGGAAGAATAGCCAGTGCTCTTAACTTCCCAGTCCATCTTCCCAGCCCGCACTGTGGTACTTTAAGGAAATTAATTATATCACAAGAAAAACAAGCATTATTTGCAGCATAGTAATGAAGGTGTCAGTTGTATTCCTGCATCCTATCTTCGGGGTGTTGATTATCAAACCAAGTGTCATACATGTGGTGGGAAGTCCATCCACTGAGCCACACTCTCAGCACTGGAGAGGACTCTTCATCTGTGACAATCAAAAAGAAAGAACATTTTAAAATGTAGATGTTGCATTTTTCTGTGCAGTTCAGATTTGTCCCCTCATAATAATGTCACCATGTTACAGAAACACATGTTGGCACATGTAGTGAGCCACTTAACAGTCATGGTATGTTCTAAGAGTCAGGGTCTGTCATCAAAGAATGAAAAGCAAGATGAGCTACAGAATCAACAAAACCTTCTCTGGATAGTACCTGTCGGTATTTTCAAGTATCCCTTCTAATAAAGTCCCTTGGTAGCACTCACAGAAGGTGTGACTGACATTAGTATTTATTCCTTTTCCCTCCTTTTAACTGGGCTGTTTGAGCCCAGATCCAAGTGTATGTAATCAGTGCTCCACCACATGGCTACCCCACCTCAACAGTGACAGCTAAATACTAACACAAAACTTGTTTCAACTTTGAAACTCAGGAATCCTCAGGATTATATTCTTCCAACACCCCAAAAGAATCCACGTGTAAAGATTTAGCATCTGTGAACACCACAGCTGAGTGTGTAACTGAGTAGTGCAGTGTGTCAGTGTTGGGTCTAAGTTTCCAATATTCAAACAGCATCTGGAAAGCATTTGAAGGCTTATAAATCTAAGATCGGAATGGTGATGGGTTTATGATTTTATTAGCTTTTTGTCTAATTTTTAACTTCCACAACATATGGAAAAGCTAGAGAGGGAGAACTATGGTCTGCTGTGAATATAGAATTAGGAAAACCACGGTGATTCTAAAATAGGGTTTCACACTTCTGACATCACAGTGATACTTTAAAATACATAAATTGGCAGACCCAGAGTCCCCCTAACTCTTTCTCCTCTCTCCAGACTTATTCATAGACCCGTGCAGCAGAAGAGTCTCCTCCCACCTTACCTCCAGTTCTCGGGGACTCCACCTCTTTGTGGGGAGGCAGGGTCTGCTAGCTCTTTCCTGCTGCCCTCTCACCCTTTCCTTCTTGCTCATCTCCATGCCTTTACATCACCCACCAACCCACAGAAGCAAACACATAGACCCCACAGCCATCACACTTGCCCAGGATCCAGGGTGCGCAGCAGCGACCATTGAACCAAACCAAACCAAACATGCAACCAGCGAAAATGAGGCCAAACATCTACACCAAGGAAAACCTCAAACATCACAACTCCAGATGCCTAGATCCCAGCACAAAAACACGAACAGGGACGGTCGACGCAATATGCCTCCTCCAGAAGCCAGCAACCCTATCGTGATAGGTCCCAAGAAAAGCAGTTTAGCTCAGGCACAAGGCAAGGACTTCAAAATAGCAATTATGAATATATTCAAGACCTTAAAGAGGATATTAATAGGTGTCTTAATGGAGATCGGAGAAATGCAAATAAACAGTTAAAAGAAATAATAAAAACAATACCAGACATGGAAGTAGAATTTAACAGCAGAATCATTAAGAAAACCCAAACTGAAATAAAACTCGAAATGAAAAACTTAGCATGTCAAACAAGAAGCTCAGAGGTAAGCCTCACCAACAGACTCAAAGACATAGAAGAGAGCATCTCAGGCGTTGAAGACAAGATAGAAGAACTGGGCAGCCCATTTAAAGAAAAGTTTAATCTAAAAATCATCCAGATACAAAACATACAGGAAAACAGGAATCAATAAACAATGCTCATTAATAATTTTCATTATAATTGGTCTCAATTCCCCCACAAAAATGACACAACACAGACTAACAGATTCTTTGGAACTGGGATTACATATGGTTATAAGTCACGATGAGGATGCTGGGAATTGAATGCTCTGGAAGAACAGCCAGTGCTCTTAACCACTGAGCCATCTCTCCAGCCTTCCATGGTTTGCCTCTTAATATCCTGAAATAGCATAGAAGCCAGCAGTAGGACAATCACCTCCAAAGTCATTTTCTTCTCATAACTAAAAGCACAGAGAAGACCTGGCATGTTTTCGATACTTGATAAATCAGTGTTCTTCAGCTTCTATTCTTGTTAAGGCTTGCATACTTCCTGAAGCTGTACCTCACCTGGGAAAACTTAGGAGACCATCATATTTGCAGGCTATTCAAACATCATATTAAAACTGTTTTCTTCTGCCGGGTGGCGGTGCATGCCTTTAATCCCAGCACTCGGGAGGCAGAGGCAGGTGGATCTCTGTGAGTTCGAGGCCAGCCTGGACTACCAAGTGAGTTCCAGGAAAGGTGCAAAGCTACACAGAGAAACCTGTCTTGAAAAACAAAAAACAAACAAACAAAAAAAAGAAAACAAAAGAAAAGAAAAAAATCCTGTGTTCTTCTCATGTTAATTTGTTTTTGCACACACGGTGTCACCATTTTGGAAGTAAATATCTTAGCTCTCCTACTATTCAGTTACTGATTTTCAGAGACTAAATGTCAGTGAACATCAGGGCTTGGTATTTAAAGAATGGTGAAATAAAAACTTTTAATGTGAGCATGTTCTTGTAGTATTTAAAATTACCTAACACATACCAAGTGAGTGTTCGTCTAAGTAGTAGTGACAGCGTTAAGCCTCCTGGGTCATGTTCTCTCCTGGGAGGACTGTAAACGAAAGGGTTTTTTTTGCATTTATTTAGTGGGGGGGGGGGAGCATGCACACGTGTCAGCACCCCGTGAGGATTAGAGAACAATTTGGAGGAGTTGGTGGTCTCTCTCCACTAGGTGGGTTCTGGGGTTGACCTCAGACTGTCAGTCTTTGGCGGCCAGCACGTTTATTTACCCTCTGAGCCATCTCACCAGCCCAGACTAGTTTGGTTTGTTAATTTTGCTTATGTGATTTTTGTGTAACTAAATATAGATTATGAAAAGCCAAATGGTACACGTTAAACCTTCTTTAATGTCTTTTTGTTCATGTCCTATGATTTCCAAGGATAAGTTAAAGAAACATCTCTTGGCACAGAGAGCACCCTCGAGTCAAGCCAAGCCGAGCCCTGCACCTTTACAACTCCAAGAGCAAGCGGAGGAGCCAGAGATGAACGCGGCTTCTGATGGAGAAGATACGTGTGGACCTTCAAGATCTGCCGAGGGGCAAGTGCTCAGGGGAATGTCGCTAGAAGGAGAGAAACTGGAGTCTAAAGATGCTCTACAACTTGTCGTGAACAAGCTAAGCCAGAAGCCTGGTGAGATTTGCGAAGCTGTCAAAATTGGTGTTCACCACGAGGAAGAGCGACCATGTGATGACTGGACAGGAAAAACACCCCTGAAGTCGGCCTCCCCTAAACCGGCCCGTGACAGCCTTGGTTGTGAGGACAGAGATGCAGCTGCAGCGCCGGTCTCTGTCCCACTGCAGACCTTTCCCGGATGGGAGGAAGGTGGCCTTGGAGATGTCTTTTCATCTCCCTCATCCTCTCAGGTCGTGGAGAACAGTGGCCAGTCAGTTACTAAATTTCCCTTAATGAAAAATAAATGTGAAAATAACAAGTCCGAAATGGAAGAATCCCTTCGTAAAAGTAAGGAGAAATCTTCTAAAAAACCAGAAAGTGGAAAGGCAGATGGTACATGCCCAGAAGTGTGTATGGGTGAAAATCAAGGAGGCCGTGAGTTCAAGGGCCAGTTGCAAAAAACTGTAAAACCAAAACGCATGGCCTGGCAGTTAGAGATCAGACACATGCCCAAGTCCAGCGAACCCAAAGGGCTTTCAGACTTCAAAGAAAAGACTCAGGTGAGCGAATTAAAAGGTTGGGGTGATTCTACCCTTCCCGACACTTACAAGAAAAGTAAAGGCGCATGGGACTTTACCCAGAAGCCCCTGCACAGCAAGGGCAAAGCCCCGCCGTGCACCCTGGGAACCGCCCGTGCCCCGCCTCCGGCTGGCAGGACAGCAAGCACTTTTGCAGATGAAGATCTTCAGGACTCGCTGTCCGACGATGAGTTCCACGTTCTGGAGGAAGAGATCCTGGCCTGGGAGAAAGTCCACCTCGAAAATGAGGTAGTTGCTCTTTTGCTGCTTTGAGTTTCATTCCGATTTTCTGTTAGTGAAAACTGTTTACTAGTAAAAATTGAGTTATGTGCATGTGATACTGTGTAGCCGTGTAGACTGCTCTGTTTTCTAAGCAATGGAACATAATGCCATAACATCAGCTCCTTAAACCACCTTGAGTGTCATTTGAGATACTAGGAAGAGAAGGTAGGTATGAATGAGCTCCTGGCATTTTGTAAACATTTAATAAGTAACTTGGTTTTGTTGTTGGTGTGTGTTTGTTTTTTTGTTTTTTTGTTTGTTTGTTTGTTTGTTTTTTGAGACAGGGTTTCTCTGTAGCCCTGGCTGTCCTGGAACAGTTTCCTGGAACTGTCCTCACTTTGTAGACCAGGTTGAACTCACAGAGATCCAACTGCCTTTGCCTCCTGAGTGCTGGGATTAAAGGCGTGGGCCACCGTGTTCTGTATCAATCTATATTGTTCTTAACATTCCTTTTTCTCTAGATTTGAAATACTTTGTGGTCTTTATGTAATGAAGAAAAATGCTATGACAGGTATAATATTTGCATGGTGGTTTAGGGTTTTTTTTAAGATTTATTTTTATTTTTAGTGTGTGTTTTTGCCTACACATATGTTTAACTGAAGTTATAGAAGGCTGTGAGCTACCACGTGGTGTAGATGTAACCAACCATCTTATTAAATAAGAAACACAGAACCAATGTAAAAAAGAAAGCCAAGAGGTCAGAGCTCAGAGCTAAAACCTTACCCTTCCTCCTGCGGTGGTCCTACCTCTCCAAACGAGACCTGCTTCCTGTGTATTTGTCTTTATATAGTCTTTCTGTTCTGCCTTCTCATTTGTTGTAAACCCAAACACGTGACTGCCTCATCATTGCCTGTAAGTACAGCCCTCCAGGTCTTAAAGGCGTATGTCTCCAATGCTGGCTGTATCCCTGAACACACAGAGACTTACCTAGCTCTGCCTACCAAGTGCTAGGATTATAAGTGTATGCCACCACCGTCAGGCTCTTGCTATGGCTCTAATAGCTCTGGCCCCTGGGCTACTTTATTTATTAACATACAATTAAAATCACATTTCAGTACAAATAAAATACCACCATAACGTGGGTGCTGGGAATTGAACCTGGGTCCCCTGGAAGACTGGTCAGAGCTCTTAACCACTGAGCCATCTCTTGAGTCCCTCTTAGGGGTTTTTAACATTACATGAAAGGTTTTCTTCCTACTTTCACATTAGTCAACCACCTCCCATCAGTAATTTTTCCACTACACATCTGGATTGTCTAAGCTCTTGTTTACCTAAATGAAGGTCTACCATCCTGTGCCTATATTCACTAAGGTGTTATCTAATACTTTTCATCATGGCAAATATGGAGCTGAATTACCAAAGCATGGTCAAGAGACCATGTTCTGGGTGTTCTCTGGGTATGGTTGACAGGTTAGTAACCCCAGCACTTGGTAAGGGTGAGGCAAGAGTGCAATGTGATGAGGCCACCAACCTCTACACATTGTGTTTGAAGTCAGCCTGAGCTACATAGAAAGATAATGTCTCAAAGACATGGAACTTTTTTCTGCCCTCATCTATATTAAGGGTAGTACACATCTAAATTTTATTTAAATTTTTTATATAGACATTGAATTCCAGTGCAAATACAAATCAGAGGCAGGGAACCTAAGTGCAGTTCCTTGTTGAGATGCACATGCCATCCAGTTTTGGTTCATCTCTATGACAGCCATGGACCCCACAATCAACATACAAGGCTTGGTTACCATATGAAGAAAAAGGATTGACTGCATCTAGAAACCATACGAAAGATGCTCCATAGAAATGTTCTGGAACTCAACATGCACTTAATTTTAAAATGATGGCTTTTGAAATAGGAACTTCATTAAGAAGTTATTAACGTGTATTGTCTTTGGATCTGGTTAATTTTGGTGTGTGATGTTTTTATTTCCAAGGGTTTTTTTTTTTTTAAATAACAAAGTAAAAAATAAAGAAAGAATAAGTAGGAAAACTTCAGATACCTTCTTATGAAATGATTGGGTCTTAGCAGGCTAATTATGGACATTAATTTTTTCAGAGTGTCTCTGAGGATCTGCTGAACAAGTGTGAGGGGATTTCATCTGATGCCACGGATCCAAAGAGGAACGATCTAGAAAACGAAGACACCGGAGGTAAGAGCAACCTGTCCTGAAAGTCACTGGGAATAGCATTCACCCGCTGAGTGACAGAAATGTGACCTACAGCCAAAGAAATGTGCCAACTAGATGCATAGAAAGGAAAGGACAAGAAAAGTGGGAATCGGGTGTCTGTCACTCTAGGACAAGCGAGAGCACCTCTAAATACTCATTATTAGTTCCGGGTCAAGATATGCTAAGATCTGAGGAAAGGTGGGACTTAGGGATGGAGGAAGGGAAGACAGGAAAGGCCAATAGTGCAGGTGTGGATCAGGGCACGAGGCTTTACTGCCCAGTGAAGGGCAGGGAATTGGAACCCTTCTTCACAAAGACAAAGACCAGTGCTTGGAAACACCGGAAGAGCTGGGAGACAGCTTCCGGCTTCAAACAGAACCAAGTTCTCTCACTCCTGTCTTCCCCCAGAGACCTAAGGTGCCAGGTCACACACAGCTGTGTTACATTTTAATAATAAACAAATTTAAATGTGTGTGGTCGGCCACATGGGTATACAGTTTAATGTTGGGGAAAATGTTATTTCACATTATTTCAAAGGCTTGAAAGAAGAAAAAGTAGGATTTGCCATAAAGAAATAAAAAAAGACATAGGTCTTTAGAAATGTTACCAGAGTTTAAGGTTCCTTTGGCAATCTTAATGTGAGTTTTCTGATAAAGGGGAACTTGAGGTCGGAGTCCAAAAGGAACGGTGAACACTTTGGAAGCAGGCTATTGTAAAACAAGGTTGCCAGTCTCTGGAGTCACCAGGCTGAACCACGTGGGCATGCACATGCAGAGCAGCAGATGTGGGGCTGTACTGTCAGTCAGTTTGGGCTCTTCTCTGACACCCAGTCTGCTTAGCTACATTTACTGCATCTATCCCGGTATCTGTTAATTCAGCGCCTTCATGAGTGCTGCGAAGCCTGAGGGCACTTTCCACTTACACTTGGGACCCTTGTTACTTTGTACATCGCTATCAACTTTCTCCAAAAGCACAGAGAGCAAGGTGTACATCTAAAAGACCCTGCATATAAAAGTCATGGGGTTTTGTTTGTTTCTGTGATGAATTGAACCATATCCAGTTTTCAAAGTGCATGGACTTGTATATTTGTTTCATAAAACTTGGTTCTCTGCTGTGCACTTGTGGATTTTAACTTTCTGGGAGTTTTCCTTCAATTCGGGCCTACATCACTAGCATGCTATTGCCATCTAAAACCTCACAGGCCCCTCACCTCCGCCTCTCAACAGCCGCTATGCTCTGTCTCTGTGAAAATGGCCACCTCACACTCTGAAACCCAAGTCCCCATGCCAGTGAAGCACATGGGTGTAGTCCCCATCAGTGAGGAACTCGGCCACATGGGAGGAAGGGAATTTGTCACAAAAAGAACAAGAACACTTGTGATGTAAGGAATAGGGTATTCACATATAAATGTGTAAAAACATCCTATTAATTTGGAAATCAGTAATTAATAACATGGTTGTCTAAAATGTATTGTTATGAGTCAAAAAGAAAAAAAGAAAAGAATGGTGTGATTGTGTTGGTTTCCTTCTCTCCTGCTTTCATGTTTTCTGAGTATCTTGTCCACAAAGTCAGGCCTTTGGGTTTGTAGAATCTTTCCAACACGGATGACAAGAAGCTGCTCTCACCTGAAGCACTGTTGTCAAGCATGGGGAGTCACAGTTTTCCCCATGTAGGAGAAGGCTTCATCAAGCCCAGGACCGCAAAAAGGGTGTGTGTGTGTGTGTGTGCGCGCGTGCGTGCGTGCGTGCGTGCGTGCATACACGTGTGTATGTGTGGATGTCTGTGTGTGTGTGAGAGAGAGCACATGTTTATATGTAAGTATCTGCGTATGTGTGGTTGTGTGTGTGTGTAGAGTAGCTGGCTTATCAAATATTTTCTAATAATACCTGCATATTAAGCTTGATTTAAAATTTTAATTTGGAAATTGAAAATAACCATTATTCTTTTAGTGTCATTCTTCTCATCTGTTTTAAGTGCTGCTCTTCTAAGTGAGTGGTTTTCTAAGAGAAATGTATATTTGTTACAGAGGACTCGGACTTTGAGGTGACAACCCAGTCAGAACACAAGAGTCTCGATGGCAGTGAAAATTCCCAGCTGCAAGTATGCACAACTTAATATCAGTGCTCATTAGTGTTTTCTTTGTGTCAGTAATGTGCCACACTCCAAAGGGCACTTTCATAATAACCTTTCCAAAAGCAATTTTTGTTTGTTTGTTTGTTTTTGTTTTTCAACACAAGGTTTCTTTATGTAGCCCTGGCTGTCCTGGCCTGGAACTCACAGAAATCCTCCTACCGCTGCCTCCCGAGTGCTGGGATTAAAGGTATGTGCCATGACTCAGAAGCAATTTTAGATCATATTTGGCATTTAATTTTTAAACATTTTAATTAGTTCTAAAATAGTGTACTGTTAGAAGCTGTAGTGAGTAAAGTTTGTTGCTTGAGTGCAGGCATTTTTCTGAGCATTTTCCCTTCGCCATGTTTAGCTTCCTCTCAGGATAGCAAGAGGTCAGCTCTGAGCCATCGACCTGTGTGGACCTGTGTGGGCCTGTGTGGACCTGTGTGGACCTGTGTAGACCTGTGTGGACCTGTGTGGACCTGTGTAGACCTGTGTAGACCTGTGTGGACCTGTGTGGACCTGTGTGGACCTGTGTAGACCTGTGTGGACCTGTGTGGGCCTGTGTGGACCTGTGTGGACCTGTGTAGACCTCTGTGGACCTGTGTGGACCTGTGTAGACCTGTGTGGACCTGTGTAGACCTGTGTAGACCTGTGTGGATCTGTGTGGACCTGTGTAGACCTGTGTGGACCTGTGTGGACCT